AAGAACTAGAGAGAGAGAGAGAGAGAGAAAGAGAGGAGTATATATGTTTGTAAATAAGAAAACATATATTTCATGCTCTTAGAAAGTCTTATTTTCTTTCATTAAAACTTGTGCAGTATAGTGAACTCCATAGATTCTCTTAATTTGAAGAAAGTTAGAGGGAAAGGTACTAATTCAGAGTTCCTTGGGAAAATGTGTCACTTATATATTTTTTATGTTTATTTTTTTAAATCAAAAACTGAAATATTTTCTATTCAGAAAATATATTTGGATCTAAATATCTTCTATAATTTTAACCCTAAAATATCAATTTAAATATTTTAAAAATGGTTGGGATGTTTTTTTTTTTTTTTTTAAATAAGTTAGATTACTAGAGTTCTACATGTTATTGGATCACTTGGGGTAATTTTTTGATTGGAAAATTAAGAATTATAGTCAGAGGGGAAGACATGAGAATATTTAAAGAACATATTCAATTTACTTTAGAAGCCGAACCTCTCTTATCATGTGACTTGTTTTGTATGTTTGTTAAACTATATTATCACATAAGCATTGCTGCTATTGGGACAAACAGTGACAGTTGATTCAAGTCATTTGAATGTCCACTGTCTGTTTTAATTTGTATGTTCGTTTTGACTCTGTCATATGCTCAATCTTCACTGGAAGTCATAAGAACCTATTATTTTTGCCTGCTCCCTCCTTTACGTTGGAAATACTTTTTTACTCAGAGGGACCTTAACTTTGATGTAAGGGGTTGCTTCCATTGCCAACTGCTTTCTTCCTTGCCAAGTAAGAGAGTTGTGAACTCTTCAGTGATGCCTTCCCCAGGATATTTGCAGATGTGGTTGGGAATAGTCATTTCATCCCCAACCTTTGCATGTCAGGTGCTGGGGTGCCGGGGTGCCACCTCGCCTGCGCCCTGGCTCTCGGATCCCGATGTGGCTCTCCCTCCTTCCAATTGCCATGGCGATCACTGGGTGCCGCCATGCCTGCACCCCGGCTCTCTCTCCCTCTGATCGCCATGGTAACCACTGGGATGCAGGCCAGGCGGCACCCCCTCGGCTCTTGCCTGCTGCCTGGGTTTCCTATCACTGTTCTTCCATCCTTCCCCTTTCACTTCCCATCATTGTGTCTACATATACAAATTAACCGCTATCTTTGTTGGCAGTTAATTTGCATATCGCCCTAATTAGCCAATGGGAAGCATAGTGGAGGTACCATTAATTACCCTTTTTGTCTTTTATTAGATAGGATGTTAGTGAAGATGTGCTCCCTGGTGCAATGTTGTGGGAATGTAAAGTGCAGCTTGTGGTCTAAACAGTATGATCGTTCTTTAGAAAGTTTTAAACAATTGTCATAAAGCAATTTAACTTTTGAGCATATATCCAAAATAATTTAAAGATTATCTCAGAGATTTGCACACCAGTGTTTATAGCAGCATTATTCACCACAGCCAAGAGATGAAAATAACCAAAGTGTCCATTAATGAAGGAATGGATAAAGTAAGTTTGGGATAGCCTATATAATAAAAGGCTAATATGCAAATTGTCCCCTCGACCTGGAGTTCAACCAGAGGGCGGGCCCAGCCAGCCAACTGCTTGCAGCCCCCCCCCCTCAGCTGGCCCTATCAGGTCACTCCCACCCTGATTGGGGGCAGGTCCAGCCTGCTGACTGTGGCCCCTCCCCCTGTTTGGCCCCACCCTTGACCTGACCCCCACCCCGATCGGGGGCAGGGGCAGCCAGCCAACCTCCCATGTCCTCTCTCCCTGGCCAAGCCAGCCCGATCAGCCCCCACCCATGCACAAATTCGTGCACTGGTCCTCTAGTGTATATATAATTTCATATTGTTTTAGGAAAGGAATTCTGGCACATGCTTCAACATTAGATGACCTTGAGAACATTATGCTAATAGAAATAAAGTCTACTTAATGAAGCATCTAGAGTGGTCAAATTCATAGAAACATAAAGTAGAATGGTAGGTCCCAGGAGCTAAGGGGAGGGGAAATGGAGAGTTCTTTAATGGGTATATAGTTTCAGTTTTGCAAGATGAGAAGATCCGGAGATTGATTACACAATATGTGAATATACTAGTATACTACAGAACTGTACTCTTAAAAATGTTTAAGATAGTAAAGTTTGTATTCTGCATTTTATACCACAGTCAAAAAAAAAAAGGAGCAGGGGAATGCAGTTCATAAACAAACACTGAACTTGTATCAAGTTGGCTGCCTAACTATATGAAGAATTATTTCAAATGCCTTTCTAGTGAGATACACTATACAATAAACACAAAGAAGCCATAAGTTGCATTTGGTAATCATATTGTTAGTGTTATTTGAAACTAACATTTAAGTATTAAATGGTACACAATTTTGTGAAGAGAAAAGTAGTACTTCCATGCAGCTATAAAAAGGAATGAAGTGCTGATGATGGTAGAACATTAGACCTTGAAAATATGCTAAATGAAATAAATCTGAGACAAGGCCACAGTATGATTCCATTTATATGAAATATCCAAATAGGCAAAACCACAAAGCAAATTAGTGGTTGCCAGGGGCTATGGAGAGGGGGAGATGAGTGACTGCTGAATAGGTACAGGGTTTCCATTTGAGCAATGAAAAGGTTCTGGAACTTGATAATTGCAATGGTTATACAATATTATGAATATAAATGCCACTGAACACATTTTTAAGTGACTAAAATACATTTTATTATGTGTATATATTTTTTATCAAAAATGAATTAACCTTCAATGGTGAAGATCCAACATAATTGTACTGAGATGAAGAACAGCTTTATTAAATTATAAGCAAGTAATTCACTTACATTTGGAGCTTATAGTATTGGCTACAATTTAGTCTCTCAAACAAACTTTTTCCTACAATGTAAAACCTAGCCTTCCCTTAGACTTTTGAAAATTATTATATTTTGATCCCTGCAAATTATAAGAAGGGAGCTGGACTCCAGTGAAATCATTTGTCTGATAGCTAGGTCTTAATCCACCTCTGTTTGTAAGAACTGGTCCATGGCCACCTCCAGGTCCTCTCTGTAAAGATTTTACAAGAGGATAAATATGTTTATTTGTTGATTCAGACTCAAATTTAATTACTTCCCTGGCATAATCTTGAAATTGTTTCTCCTTTCCAGCCATAAGTTCTTCAGTAAGTCTGCAGTACTCCAGATGGTCTTCTTTTGCTTGTTTTGCATTAAACTTATTTTTGGCCTATTGAGGAAAGAAAGTACAATTCCATATTGGTAAGTGAGACCAACTTTCTAAACATAGCATTAGAAGTTGTAGATAGACTTTTCTAAACTGATTGATATTTGACAAGTTCTGACTTAACAACTGTATACTATAATTTATTTCAGAAACTTTCCAATGTATCTCACAATATCATCATCCTCAAAAGTCATGACTCAATGAAACTTACCTTAATAGCCTTTTGTGATGATACATTTTCAAACAATACAGCAAAATAGTTAAAGGCATAAAATTTAGATAAAATCAAATAAATTTAGAATCCTGTTTCTATCAATTAATAAAGTGTACTCTGGCAGGTGTAGAAGGCATACCAATCACTGTCCCTACCCATTCACTATTTTGAAGGAACTAACTCAAACCCACTCTCCTAAGTCATCCCAGTATACCATGTGCCACAGGCATATAAAATTAAATTTTCAGTGACTATCTGAGCTAAGTTAAACCAACTACTTGCTCTGTTTCCCAATAATTTGAAGTTGGAACGAGTGACATTTATCAACGTAGGTTGATCAGTTGCTGTGTGGAGTAAGTACGCTAAGCTATCTACCAAAAGCCAATTTACCAACATTTCATAAATTTTTTTCTTGTAACTTCATAAAAATGTTCCTTTATATTATACTATAGGACTAGTGCACAGATTCGTGCACCGGTGGATTCCCTCGGCCTGGCCTGCGGGATTTGGGCTGAAACCTGCTCTCCAACATCCCCTGAGAGGTACTGGATTGTGATAGGGCGCAGGCCAGGGTGAGGGACCACACCGATACACAATTGGGGCCAGAGAGGGACTATGGGAGGGTTCCAGGGTGTGTCCGGCCCGTTTTGCCCAGTCCTGATTGGCTGGACCCCAGCAGCAAGGTAACCTACCAGGGAGCATCTGCCCTCTGGCAGTCAGTGCGCATCATAGAGACTAGTCGAATGGTTGAACAAGCGGTCGGACATTTAGCATATTAGGCTTTTATTATATAGGATGTGATTATAATGACTTTTAAAGATTTCTATGTAGTTTTGGTTGACAATTCTTTCATTTTGTTTTCTCTGTGGCATTTTTAAAAAATGCTGAGTTGGCAAAAAATTGAGTGATTTTTGTATACTTAAGAACAGGGGTCCTCAAACTTTTTAAACTGGGGGCCAGTTCACTGTCCCTCAGACCGTTGGAGGGCTGGACTATAGTTTAAAAAAAAACTATGAACGAATTCCTATGCACACTGCACATATCTTATTTTGAAGTAAAAAAAAAACAAAAAAACGGGAACAAATACAATATTTGTATTTGCATGTGGCCCGCGGGCCGTAGTTTGAGGACCCCTGCTTAAGAATATATTTTAATATTCAAAAAATATTTTTCAAAATCAATAACCAATTCTTAAGCATAAAATAGTAGCTCAAACCTGATATCTACTATAAATTGAAATTTATAAGGAAACTAGAGGCCTGATACACAAATTCGTGCAAGGGGCTCAGCCCTCGCAGCCCTGGCTTCGTCCAGAAGGTCATCCAGACAGTTGTCCGGAAGGATATCCAGATGGTCGCTCTGCTGTTCAGTCTAATTAGCATATCAGCTCTTTATTATATAGATAGAGCAACTATATGGATATAGAAAGCACATTTTTATTACCGAGTGCTGCATTTAAAAATTAAAGCTTATATGTTAAATTGGTGGTAAACTACCAGAAGCTTGACAAAATATAAAATTACATTCAATAAGTATTTTTTTTAAGTCAGAAAAAGCTATAAACTGTCTTCTAAATGTGGGATCTTAACAAGCAGCAGTTGAGATATGTTGATTTGGTGGTTTGTAGAAAGATATTCAGGGAACAGGGAGAAACATTTAAAGTACAATGGAAGAGATTGGAGAACCAAGATGGCGGCATAAGGTATAAACCTGTGCGTGCTGCCTCCCACAACAACATTGAAACTACAACTATAAGACAAAACAGCTATCATCCAGAACCACGGGAAAGCTGGCCGAGTGGAAGTTCTACAACTAGAAGGAAAGAAAAAAGCACATTGAGAACGGGTAGGAGGTGCAAAGGCACCAAGAACAGAGGTACAAAGGCACGCAGGAGGCAGCTGCACCTGGGTGCATGGTTTTTCTGAATCGGAAGGGGATACAAGCTCTCAAATGCACTGAACTCATTTACGGTGAGACTCTGGGGTCCCAGACTCCTACGGGGAGAAACTGGACTGTCTTGCAGGGGGTCGGAAAGTGAGGGTGACTTTCTCGCAGAGCTGCGTGCAGGGAACATTGTTGCTGTGGAGGCACGGGACTCAGGGTCACAGAGGGACTCAGGAACACAGACGCGGAGTCACGGAGATGGCTGACGACAGCCATTGCTGTTTGCTCTGCCCTAGTGATTCTCTGAGACCCTGCCCCACTCAATTTACATCCCCATCCAAGCTGTGCGCCATAGCACAAAGGAATCACCTGAGCTTTTGCAGCCTAACCTAACAAACTGCAGCTGGGTCAGAGAGCTCCAAAACTTCCAAACCCCAAACAAAGAGGAGAAATCTGCTGATATCGCTGTAGCTCCTGCTGAGTGGACTCACACAGTGGTTGACTTGGAGACCCAGGAGCCAGGGTACCCCTGGTCAGCTACCAGATTTCAATTCCTCACATCCATAAGGGACACACTCAAGAAGCAGACTCAGTGAGCACCAAAGCCCCATTGAAGCAAGTCTGACCCCATAATGGTGTCTCCAGCACAGCAGCAGTTCATCCACTGTAGACTGCTGGTCCTCGCAGTCAGCCAAAAATGCAGAGAAAGAAACATGTCACAAATGAAAGAAATGGAGGAAAGCAAACTAACGGAGGACATAGAGTTCAAAACCACAGTTATAAGGTTACTCAAGAATCTTCTACGAACCTCTGAGGAACTTAGTGAGACCTTCAAGGATCTTAAAGAGAATGCCAAAAAAATGGAAAAGGACCAGTCAGAAATTAAACATACACTGACTGA